GCATATGCCATTTTTATCGTTGTACATGCAGTTGGGGTCATCAAAGGAGTTTTCTGAAGATCTATCAGATCCATCAGATCCATCAGGAATAATTAAAGCAACAAGGGCAGGTAGTCGCAAACGTAAAATTAAAGAAGCTTTGCAAGATTATAGTGCAGATTATAATGATACGAGAGATGGATTTCTTAAAAAGATTAGAACTAAGCTAAATGAAGATGTTAAAAAAAATTCCGAGAGTGTTGTAGATAATTTTTTAGATGCTGATATTAAGGCATTCCGGAAATATTTTCAAGTACCACTTGCAATATTTGGATTGTCATCAGAAGTTTACAGTTGTTTAAAACAGGCTGCAACATCTACTTCAGTTAATAATAGAGATCTTGAACGTAGCTTTAAACAATTATTGACTGCTTGGGTTGACCCTACACTGGGGGAGATTTAAAAGATGCTGAAGTAATTAAGCACATGATTCCAATGGAATATAAGATAGAGGAGTAATAAGATTATTTAAATGGATATGTGATAGCATGTACAATGTTGGTTGGTAAGGAGTGTAGATCGAACAAAACATGAGTGTTATAGCTCAATATTTTGTTATTTTAGCATGTAATGTTATTAATCTTGCAATGTAGTTAATTATCGGTTTTGCATACCAATTTGGAACATTTGAGCAATTAATTTGAACATCTAAACAATCAAATTTGAACATCTGAGCAATCAAATTCAAACATTATACCAATTAAATTTAAACATCTGAGCAATCAAATTTGAACATTTTAGAAATTAAATTTGAACATTATAGCAATTAAATTTAAACTCTATAGCAATCAAATTTGAATAGCAATATCTCATTATCTAGTAATCAAAATAATATAATTTTAGCACTATTTAATTTGTTTAGTTCTGATGAGTTGAATGGTATTAAAATTATATAATTTTGATTACTAAATAATGAGATATTGTTGTTCAAATTTGATTGTTAAGATGTTTAAATTTGATTGCTATAGTGTTTAAATTTGATTGCTATAGTATTCAAATTTGATTACTAAAATGTTTAAATTTGATTTCTTAGATATTTAAATTTGATTAGTATAATGTTTAAATTTGATTGTTTAAGTGTTCAAATTTGATTGCTTAGATGTTTAAATTTGATTGTTTAGGTGTTTTAAATTGGTATGCAAAATTAGTATTAATAAAACTGGTTCTGGTTGTCTATTTTATTATATACATAATCAATTTATTTTTGTATATATATTTCGTAAATTTATTTATTTTATTAGGAGTTTTAGACTTAAGGTTTGAGTTTTTGATTTTAAATTAATTGATAATCCATCTATGAATTGGAGAATAGGTAAAATGAGACGTCTGTCATCTAAAACTTTTTTTCTTATTAAGTTAACGATACATGCTTACTAATTGAAAGTTGTAGAGCTCGTTGAGATATATTTAACCGCCGTTAGATGCGTCTCAACGTGCTCTACAACTTTTAATTAGTAAGCATGTATCATTAACTTAGTAAGAAAAAAGTTTTAGATGGCAGACGTCTCATTTCACCTATTCTCCAGTTCATAGCTGAATTATCAATTAAATTAGTGATGTATTTATTTCATAATCTATAAATCTTATTTAATGTTTTTTTACTTAGACAAGATTGTATTAGTGATTGATATTTAATAAAGCCTCAATTTTGTAAAAAATTACAAGTATATAGCTATAACATTAAAACTAAGATTCTGACATCCTACAGCTATTCTAATGAGTGCTCATTGGTAATTTGCTATACCAGCAAGATAAAACCAAAAGGTAATATGCCAACCAGAGAGTTTGTTTGATCCTCCACTCTATAATAGAATACTGCTAATTTGATCATATCTTCTCGTAAAGAAGTGAAAAGAAAAATAAAAACTATATAAAAACACAGAAATATAGAAGGATATAATAAAAGATATATATAAGAAAGAAAGAGGTAAGAAAAAAATGAAAAAATAAAAAATATAGGATTTTTTACTCATACCAGATGGTCACAATTATAAGCCTGTGTTAAGCTTTATAAAAATTATATACTACTATTTAAACTAGTTTCTATTCTAATTCATTTAATCAGTATATTTAAGCAAAAAATTCTAAAGAGAAAAAATCAACTTCTTTGACATCAGCATTTTATTGAGGAAATAGACTACAAAAGCAAATTGAAAAATTGACTTCTTCTATTAATATTGTAAAGAGGTCAAAAGTTTGTACTATTGATTTCAAAGCATTATTTATTTAGGTTGCCACTTTCAAAGCACATAATCTATATGTCTATATTCTATAAGTATTCACATATTTGTTATGATAGAAAAAGTAAACAATGCTGACTGATTTGATAAGTAAACAATATATTGATCTTTTGGAGGTGGTAAACTAAATCATCCATTTTTTTACAAAATTTTTACTGAAAAAAAAGTGGTGGGTTTATGAAAATTGTGAAGTTCTTTTTATAAGTTTTATAGTTGTATAGTCTAGTTTTCTAGTATCTATTTGATATTTCAGCTCAAAGATTCTTGCTCTACTTGTTCTTGGAATAAATTTTTTAGTTTAAATGTCAAACGTGCTAAGAAGTCTATCGAAGAAAGGAAAACTTGACTCAAAGTACAAATCTGCCTAATATTCTTATACACCTACTTCTCAGTATTTTACATATTGTAGGTTTTGTCAACAACAAGTTTGTTTATTGCAAAACCAGGAATATTATTGTATCTATTATGTTGCTTTTCTATATCGCTAACTGTAGTTCAGTAAATTGTTGTTGACCAAGTGATCATTAGAAAAAGATGGTCTGATTTTTGAATTCATTTAATTTAATTTGTCAGCTTATTTATACTATTATAATAAAAATTGATACTTTAACAATCGTTGAAATTTCTTCAAAATTTTTACATCTTTTATACATTGTATATAAAAAGCTTTATATTTCAGATTGACAACTACATATTAAAGACATAAATAGTATTTTAGAAGTACTAATAAAAGAATATTTTAATAATACTCATATAAATACAATTAAGTTTCTTGAAAAAGAAATTAATGAATTATTAGAACTATTGAAAGCAATTGAATTGAATTGATATCTTATCTCCTATAAAAAAACTATTAAATCTAATAACTTTCTAAAATTCTTTTATTTAATTATAATGATTATAATTTTAGACAAATAACAAGAGTTAGTAAGGAAACATTCTTGTATATAAAAAACCTTATACAATACAATCCAATATTTTTAAACAAATCAAAATATTTGCAAAAACCTGTTTGATTACAATTAGTAATAGATATAGTTGTCAAATATACTAAACATATTATAACAGCAATTAATTCAATTGGGAATGAAGATCAAATATAATATAGCTTACCTCTTAATAAAAATTTTAAAAAATTTTTAAATTAATTACTATATATTATAATATAATCTTTAAATTAGATTTTTAATATTAATTAAAATATTTATTATAATATAAAACAATAAAATAACTATATAAAATTAATAAATTAAATAGTTTTTTAAAAGAGATAACCTATACTATATTTGATCTGAAAAGGATTATGTTTATTGGTCTGATTCTTTAAAATGTCAACAAATCAGTAAGTGAATAAAATTATCATCAAGATTTAAAGACTGTATTAGATTTTTGATGAAACTGATATTATACTTATATATAAACTAACAAAAGATGATGAACCTTATTATAGTTAGAAAAAAATATATTTTAACTATACAATTAGTTTATAATGACTTAAAATATATTCGATTTGCTAATTTTGGGTGGCCAGAGTCAGTTAAAGATTTGACTATTTATAAATCAACACCATTATTTCAAAATGCAAAACATTTTTTTTATAATAGAAAATATTTATTAGCTGATTGTGTTTATTAACTTATTTTAACAACAATAGTTCTTTATAAACAATCATATACAAATATTTTAGAAAATGCAATTTTTAATGAATTATTTGCTAAAGAATAGGTTAGAATTGAATATATCAATAAAATCCAAAAGGATTGATCTTTAATATAAGTAGGCATATATAATTATTATACAATTATAATATATATAACTTAATTATTTTAAACTAATTTAAGTAATTTTATAAATTATTAAAGTCAGAGTTAAGGTTAGGGTTTAAATTAGCTTAAATTAATTAGATTTTATATATTATAACCTTGTAATAATTTATATATGTCTACCTATACTAAAGAAGATCTTTTAAAAAATAGATTTGGTTGTTTAAACAGAATAAGAACTCAAATTTTATCAAAAAAAATTTAAAGTTCATTTTAGATACTATAAAGGCAACAATTATACTTTATAATTATCATTAAAAAATATAGATATTTAGAATGAAAATTTAAATGAAATTGAAATAGAAAATAAATCAGATTCAAATAATTTACAAGATAATAGTAATGAAGTAGAGAAACAAAGAAGAAAAATATACAATATTTAGTATTTCAAAAAATAATATTTTTTAAGATAATAAATAATATTATAATTCAATTATTACTATATATTATTATTATTATTTTAATAATTATTTAATTATAAGTACAATTTTGTATTATATATATATTTTATTATAATTAATTACATTATATTTATATATACATATAATATATAATTTTTAATAATTTTTAATTATTACAAATTATTAAAAAAATCTAATATCTCTTTAATTTCAGAAAAGATTTATTATATCATATAAGTTCTAAAATAATATTGTTTTGTTGCTGTTTTTTATCTTTTGTCTCTTCCTTTTTAGCCTTTTCTTCTTTCCACTAAAGTTTTTTTTTCAAATTCTAATTTTTGCTCTATTTTATATTTTTTTATTTCAGCTATATCCTTTTTAATTTTAATTCATTTTTGCTTAATTTTAAGACTTTTTAATTTAATATCATGATAAATATCTTTTGCAGTAACTTTATTTTTATCTTTAATAATTAGTAACAAATATCATTGCTTTGAAGAATTATTATTATCTGTACTTTCAATTGAATCAACATTTTGCTTATTATTATTGCTGCTTGTTATAAATTTATCTAATATTTAATTTAAATTAAATATTTAAAATTTTAAAATAAATAAATATAAAAATTTAAATAAATAATTTAAAATTACCATTTAATAAATTATCTTCGTCATTATTAATATTATTATTATGATGAACTATATTATTATAATTTTATAAATATAAAATATATTAATTATATATTAGTTAAAATATATTTAATATTAATTTATAATCGCAACTCTCTTTAATGATCATTTGTATCAAACTTACAGTTAAAGAAAACAGAAACTTGTTAGAAAAAAGTAGAAGAGACAACTATACAATAACAGTTTTTATAAAGGTTAAGACTTTTTGCAATATACATCAGACTTCTTTATATATTTAGCATACAAGTTAAAAGCATTCTTATATAAGATAACTGGCAAAAAGGTGATGCCTTTGTACAAAAAATT